ACTCCACCTAATTCAACATCAGCTCACCACCATGGGGATTTGGGTCTGTAGCTCCCACAGTTGCGTAGCAACAGTGACAAGAAGCCTGCCTCCTCCATTGTGTGCGAGCCGCTCTGGTTCTCTGCCTTTACAGCAAACCCGGCCCAAACAATGACTCATTCAACCGGCTTCCCAGATCTTCCACCACGGCTGGTATCCGTGTGGACTGCAAACAGCAGACGGGTCGTWATCAGTTTGCTCCGAGCCTTTATCGGACCGTTTACTGATACCCCGTCCTCACACGTGCGATAGGCTGCAGAGTGTAAATTTTCATTCTGCCTGCTGGTAAACAAAACTCCTGGAGAGCTCTGGGGCATGAACTTGATTCAAATTAGGGACTTGACCTATTTTAGTGTATTTTGTCCCAAACATTTGTATTCCATCCTGTGAAACATACAAATCGTTATGCAAACCTTCAATTCAGGGGAAATAAAGCTAATTCAATAAAGCAAATGTCTTGATTTGCTAATTTTTCCTTTTTTTTTTCAATCAGCTAAATTAAAAGGACTTCAGCTGCAAAGTCAGCAATATTCCAGTGCATGCATTTTGTTGCAGTCACATAAATAAACAGCTTTGACTTTGTGTAAATGATGTTTCTGCGTCGCCCTGAGGCTGGCAGTGCTGGTTGGAGGGCTCCCTTTGGTCCAGACAGAAAAACTGCTGAGTGAATTCCATCCCTCAGAGATGAATTATATTTTTGATGACCCACATGCTCCCTGCTTTCAATAAGGTCACGGTTTTAATAATTAAAAYCCCATTCACTGTGCTGTTTGTGAAACAGGCCAGCGTGCTGTCAAAGATGAAGATCTTAAACTGCAGAGTCAATGGAACAACTAAGGAGAAAATAAAACCCTCCACCAAGGCCCTTCMGCACCAAGCTGGGTGGCTGTTTCATTTGGAGAAGAAGTACAAATTCAATTCAATTCAACTCAGTTCATTTATATAGCGTCAAGTCACGACATACGTTGTCTCACTGTACATGGAAAAAGAACAATCTAAAGAAGAAGCCAGCAGATTGTGTTGAATCACTTCATCACAGTCTGCCATCCTGTACAAATGGTGGAGAGGAAAAACTCCCTGCTAATCAGGAAGAAACCTCCAGCAGAACCAGGCTCAGGACAGGCGGCCATCTGCCTCGACCGGCTGGTTGGGGGACAGGAAAGAGACACAGAGACACACAGAAGAACTGGTCCAGGTACACCTGTTTCTGGAAAGAGACAAAAAGAAAAAACATGTTAATAATTTCAATAAACATGTAGAGAAGAGAGACTAAACAGCAGAGTGAGGAAATGTGCTCAGTTTGTGCTCCTGCAGTCTACATCTATAGCAGCAGAAATGAAGAAAAATTCAGGAAACCTAAGTCTAATTATAAGATTTATCAAAAAGGAAAGTCTTCAGTCTAATCTTAAAAGCAGACAGAGTGTCAGCCTCACGGACAGAAACTGGAAGTTGATTCCACAAGAGAGGAGCTTGAAAACTGAAAGCTCTGCCTCCCATTCTACTTTTAGAAACTGGAGGAAYCACAAGTAAACCTGCAGTCTGAGAGCTAAGTGCTCTGTTAGGAAAGTATGGAACAATAAGATGTTTAATATATGATGGAGCTTGGTTGTTAAGAGCTTTGTATGTTATGAGTAATATTTTAAATTCTATTCAAAATTTGACAGGGAGCCAAATGGAATGGTGAAACATGAAATACAATTAGGAAAGTCACAAGGGACAATTTGTAAAACAGTGTGAATTAACAAAAAAAAAAAAAACAACACAATCAGGCGAAGGGAAGGAATGTCATTTGCAGAAAAGTCGAACAAACATCAATAATGTGATGAGTGACTGAAGTCAGTGATGACATGTGGGTACACCTGTCAGCTCAGATCACAGATGGAAATCTGTAGGAGAGTAATAAAGTCTGCACACTTTTCTCATTCTGCTGATCAGAAGAAGGTCAGTTTTTCAGTTCAAAGTCAAAAAAGAATTCAACGTCTTCTTCAGGAAATCATTATCTCTGGAAATRCAGTATGTCTGGGCTCCATTCAGAATAAATGTTAATGGGTTTTAAGTCTGAACATGACTGCTTTTTTAATACGTTGATCTGTCAGCTGCAGTACAATCCGACTAATGAACAAGGCTTTAACAAATGTATATTTATCATTTATTTTGGTTGATGGTTTCATAACTAATGTTATTAAATATGTCCGACAGAGTCACCTTTACAGATAAATTTTACTCAATAGCCAAATTTTAGTGTCATAAAWGCTGCAAATCAGTCCCAAAAATATACTTTAAACTATTACCTATTGAACAAGATATTTCCTTATAATGTTGGCTTTAACTGTTGATTAACTCTGTTTGTCTGTTAGCAAAATAATCTTGTAAATTTCTGGATGTGTTTTAAGAAAGACTTTTAAAAATAAATCATTGAACGGGCATCTTCAACTGATTAACATATGGAGTAAAGTCAGTGATGGATGGTATTCAGCTAATCAATATTAAGACAAAAATGGCCATAACTCTATTAACTTTACAGATATCGAGCTGCAGTTTGGTGTGGTAGTAGCTGAGAGTCGTTTACAACACAWAMTCTGAGCGTGACGTCTTTTAAAAGCTTTCGTAGTTYAGTTTGCAGATTTTTYTCTTGATTTAGTGCAGACATCACTGCTCTCTAAGGACTGATCAGTGGGAGATGCTGGATGCGGCTCCATCTTTCATGTTGCGCCTGCAGCTCCTGAGGGAGTGGCTGTGACATTTAGCGGTAATTGAATTGCTTTCTGCCCTCTTGTGGAGGCTGATCTGCTGTCAGGAGAAGGCTGCTGATAAACACAGAGTGACTGCAGAGTCATTAGACAACACCTTCTTCATCTGCACCAAGATGTGGGGTTATAAGGAAAAAAGTTCAATCCTAAATATATTTTTTATAAAATCCCTTTCATGAAAGTCAACAAAATACTGAAGCCCAGTTCTTTAAAACCGTAAAATTAAAACCGTTTCTCTTAGGAGTTTCACCTCTCTTCTGCAGCTGAGCCCAGTTGTGAAATTAATGTAAACTGCTTTTTAAATACCAATTGAGGCCACATTTTCATCACTCATGAGCAGAGCTGCCAGACGAGCTCTTCAGGTTGCTTTAAATGTGTTAAAGTGAGATAAAATGGYTGCCTGACTAAACATGGCAGGGGTGCATTACGATAAACTTTAGATAAAAACGTCCACTTCCTGTTGTTGGGAGGCTTAACAAGACAAAAGCTTGTCTTAGAATCTAACGTGCCCTAACTCAGTGTTTCCCAAAGTTGGGGTCGGGACCCAAAGTGGGGTCCCTAAACATCAAGGTGGGGTCCTGAAAAGATTTTCTGAATTAATTACGTTTTTGTCTTAGTTGTTACAAAGGAGTGAGGTTAGTATATTTAAAATGGATAAATGTAGTATAAAAATATTGTTACTATGCCCATGTTTTGTTGACCTGATACAAATGTTTATCCTCCAAAAATAGTTGGGGGCACAGGTCTCTGCTACTGTTATTTTGTGGGTCAAAAGCTGAAAAGTTTGGGAACCACTGCACTTTGGTTCCCAAAGTTGGGCTTGGGACCCAATTATGGGTCATGRAGCACCTTGGATAATCTCCAGAAATCAATTTAAAGGGTAATAAAATAATTGCTGATGTAATATTTTCTCTATAATTATTACAAAAACACAAAATAAGTAACAATAAGTGTTTATATTTGTGTATAAGCTGTTTAGATTGTCAAAAGCCTGTGTTTTTAGGGTTATTAACAAAGTTTGTGTACTCAGACCAGTAATATTTGGGGTCACAAGTTTTTGCCATGAATATTTTGTGGGCCAGAAGACAAAAAGTTTGGGGACCACTGCCCTAACTTGTGTTCACGCCGGAGCCCGTTCGGTCCAAGAAAACCTGCTGAAACTAGTTTCACTGCAGCTGGTCTGGGATTAAACTGTTCTTTAATTATATGTGAAAAAAAATCATTAAAAAGAAAATTTAATATGTAAAGACCGTGACTGATTTATTTAAGTTTTAGGAGCAGTGTAATAAACTGAAAGTGACAGTGATGACCCAATTTAAAATGCAGAAACTCTAATGAGGTTTCTATAAAATTATGTGAAATATTAGAACAGTAATAGTAAAAGATGGAGTGTGATGGGAATTTACGTCCATAAAAAGAAATATGAAAAAAATTATGTTGCATCTTAATGTTCTTCCACTACAAAATAAAACACACAATATCCATTACTCAGACAATGAGAGAAAAAAAAGG